ATTTATAGCAAGGGGGGATAAAAGGAGAGGGACTAACCTAAGCACAGGAGTGATATCTAGTGAAAATGCTGGAAACTGACATGAAACTGACAATTTGTCTTTAAAAAGACAAATTTGGAAAACACTGAGGTCTGGAATAACTGCTAGTAGACAACCCTGAATTAGATAAGTCAGTGGTCTGACTAGGCAGATAATGGGGTCCTTTGTTTTATTTTGACCTTCATTTTCAAACTCTGCTTAAGGGATCATTCTGGTAATGTTAATGCAGATGGTTAAGGCTACAATGCCATATATACTCAGTGAACAAATGAGCTTCACTGGATATAATTTATTTTCCTTATCTTGTGAGATAGGTTGAGCTAGGAGAGAGTGACAGATTCAAAGTTGCCTGTGAGCTTCTCTAGCTGAGGGTGGACTTGAACCCAGGTCTCCTTTGCTCTACTCCAGCTTAACCACAACAGTACATGACCGTCTAGATTTGTTGTTGGATTACAACTCCCAAAAGACTGAGCCACCATTATCAACTGGAATTAAAGCCTAAGGCCAATCAGAGGATATCAGTCTGGAAAAGCTGATGCAGCCACATAGAGAATTCTGTTGTCAACCCACAAGGATAATTTTTCCAAATGGTCCCACCACAATGGTCCCAAATGGCCCCACCACCAATGTGAGTGAGTGTAAAATGATGTAAACACATCTCAACTACACATGCACCAACTGGTTCTAAAAGGACCATTTAGGAAAAGTTATTTGAGACCTGTTTGCTTGCATTGAGGCATCCCAGGGGTGGGAAGGTGTAAAAAATGTTAAAATAGCAGCCGTGACCGCATCATTGAAGCCCTGCTCCGTTCTTTTAAAAAAACGTTTATTGTAAGACAGAAAAAAAAGGTATAGAATGCATCAAGGTTTTACAAAATGTAAAATTACACAAGAATTTACAAGATGTTTTAAAAAAGGAAAAAGAATACATTGTTCTTTCAAGTAACATTGAATGGGGACGGATATTTTTTATATGATTTTTATTAAAATGTTTAAAGAATAAAAACTAATACAAACTAATAAAAAGTGAGGAAGAAAAAAGAAAAAGAAAGCAAGCAAAGAGAAAGAAAAAAGTTCAAGAAGAGAAAAAAGATACAACGAAGTGGCTTCTGACATTCTTCACAGCGGTTATAAATACAATTATATTTTAACCTCTCTCTCTAAAGTTACATCATAATACTGTCCTCTTCTTTTTATCATCTGTCCTGTCTAATCATCAAAGCCATAAATCACAAGTTCATTTTTTTCATTTTTACACAAAAAGTCCATAAGAGGTTTCCAGTCACCAATACATGTAGACAGCATCTTTTCTCTAATCAAAGAAGTTAATTTATCCATCTCAGCAAGATCTGTCAGTTTCAGAACGGGAACAGGTAACAAGAAAATCATGTCCTTTATCGGTTCAATCCTTTAACAACTAATATTAACATCAAATGAGAAATTGACAGAAACAAAGATGATGAGAATTATTAGTCAAATCAGTAAGGATGTAGTAAGAATTAACAAAAAATTCTAACTAATCTGAAGCAGTACCATTACGGCCAGTGTTGTCCAAACTTGGCCACTTTAAGATGAGTGGGATTCAACTCCCAGAATTCCCCAGCCAGCATGGCTGGCTGGGGA